GATGAAGTCAGGACTGAGAGAAAGATGAAAGATTTTCGCAAAGATCAAGTAGATTTGCGGTAACCAGTAGGGAATCTAAAGATATTCATTGATTAAACAAGATTCTTTACTTAGTTCACACTTAGTTCTTCTTTCAAATACCTGACATGCGAAGTAGAACAATGTGACAACCAATGTGTAAATGGTGATCCGTTTAATGGGGATTCTTGATTGTAACATTGTGCTGAAAGGCATTGTTTGCATTAGAACTGGTTGATTAAGCTAAATTAAAGCTAGAGAAAGCTAAAGCTAGCTAGAGAAAGCTAAAGAAAGCTAAAGCTAGCTAAAGAAAGCTAAATTTCCTCAAGTTTCCTGTGTTTGCAATTGCTACAAGTGTACGATCACTTACCGTATCTGTCGCCTCAACCTCAAAATGATTCTCGCGTAGAAATATGTGAGTAAAGTGCATGGGAGCAGAAAAGCAACGACAACCATGGCGCATAGAAACTGGAGAAAAGTTTTTTTGGAAATTAGAAAATCACTGAGATTACCCAGGAATTTCATCGTGATACTCAACCCGTCAACGCACGTTTGTTTCACAATTGGATAGGTGATCCTCTGGAAAATCTTCATATCCAAATTTCAACAGCTTCAACAGTTCAACAGCAAAGCTATGAGCAAAGCAACAGGGTTTTGCAAATACTATTTTTAAATAGTTTAAATAGTTGACGGGATAGTGCTTCTCCTGAGACATAATTCCTCAAAGTACAGTACCCCAAAGTACAGTATCGAAGTAAGTACCCTGAAGTATTACTTCTATAGTATAGTATCCCGAAGTAGGCACTCCAAAGTACAGTCCCAAAGTACAATACCGGAGTGAGTACCCTGAAGTACAGTACCGAAGTAGGTATCCTAAAGTACGGTACCCCAAAGTACCTTGCCGAAGTAGGTACCTGAAGTACAGTACCCCAAAGTACAGTGCCCCAAAGTACCTTACCGAAGTAGGTACCTGAAGTACAGTACCCCAAAGTACAGTGCCCCAAAGTACCTTACCGAAGTAGGTACCCTGAAGTACAGTACCCCAAAGTACAATACCGGAGTGAATACCCTGAAGTACAGTACCGAAGTAGGTACCCCAAAGTACAGTGCCCCAAAGTACCTTACCGAAGTAGGTACCTGAAGTACAGTACCCCAAAGTACAGTGCCCCAAAGTACCTTACCGAAGTAGGTACCCTGAAGTACAGTACCCCAAAGTACAATACCGAAGCCAGTACCCCAAAGTACAGTACCAAAGTCAGCACCCTGAAGTTCAGTACCCGGAACACAGTACTCTTCCCGAAGCGTGTACTGTGAGTGTACTGTGAGTGTACTACTAAAAGTGTACTACTAAAAGTGTACTACTAAAAGTGTACTACTAAAAGTGTCCTACTAAAAGTGTACTACTAAAAGTGTACTACTAAAATTGTACTACTAAAAGCGTACTACTAAAAGCGTACTACTAAAAGCGTACTACTAAAAGCGTACTACTAAAAGCGTACTGCTAGTGTACTGCTAGTGTACTTCTGGTGTACTTCTAGTGTACTTCTAGTGTACTGCTACAGCCTTTTCCCTCATTTTTACCCGTTTCACTTCCGGATGACAGATCGCCATGTATCGATCAAAACCTAGAGCTGTTAGGATGAAAGAGGAACAGATCTAGAATCATTGTTGGAGATGGTTGCTTTCGAGTCAAAACCTTATTCGAAAGCTCTAAAAGAAAGTAGATTTTACAAGCGAGTTGCCCGAAAATCCAATTCTCTAGCACCATCACTGAAATTTGTTTGAAACAATCTCAAAAACTCATCTACCTGATAAATGAAATGGAATTGACATTGTGACCAAAAGATCGACTCCCGACAAAACGACCATGTAGACGAATGTGTTTCCCAAAGCAGTGACTGAGGATCGTAAGGATCTGAAATTGGCAAGGTCACTAAATTTTTTAGGCATGTCACTAAGTCGGCATGTCACTAACCGAAAACTGTTTTAGTCAATTTTGAGCTCAAATTCATTCAAGAATCGTTGTTTGGAATTTTCGAAAAAAGCCAATAGAGTTTTAAGGCCTAAGGCCTTAGAAAAGCCTAAGCCCTAGCCAATAAGAACGCTCAAAACGCGAGGGAAACAAGAGCAATGATGACCCTTTCTTTTTCTTTTTCTTTCACCCTCATTTTGCATTCCTATTCCTCATCCCCTTGTCAGATTTGTAGCTTTCTTGAAACTTGAAACATTTCCAAAACAAAAGCCAGTCGGAGTCGGACTTTATTAGTCGGATTACTGTAATAAGGCACTTTTAAAATCCTCTAAAGCCTGATTAAGCCATTATATTCAATTAAGATAAAAACAACATTGCTTTAGCTTTAAAGTTCATTATTTAAGTCCCAAGTTGAGTCTAGGGGTTTTTTAAAAAAATTTAAGCTTGTAATTTTCATCATAATGCATTTAATAGCTAGATTGAAACATTCAAACATTTAAACCTGATAGAAACTTCTATTCAACAATTAAAACAATTCCAAAGTATAAAGATACCTTTATTTCTTTATTAAAGTGATTATAAAGGGTTTTGATTGAATCTTTGAGTGAAAAACTGTAAACAAATTTACCTTGTCACAAAGAAAACATAAGTGAGCACAGCGACGTTGCCAGCCGTTCCGAAAATGAACAAAAAAGCGTAGGGAAGGGAAAATGAGGTGACTTCGGTGCTGTACACTTGCATTGATGGACCCGCCGAATGTACAGAAGTCATCTGAAATTTGAATAAAGAGGGGAAAAGTGAAAGAGATGATATAAAAGAGGAGAATATGTTAAGAATATATTAAGGGTAAAATATAAGAGTAGAATATAAGAATATATTAAGAATATAGTTTTCAGAATAAAAATACGATTTATTGATAAATTGTTAAGGAAAAGATAGAAGTTGGCCAGGCAAAAAGCGCGGTTCGGCGAGGTTTCTCGCTGTTTTTCCTGCTGGTTCTTAACTCGACGTGGCGCAGCCAGGAGTGCCCTCGTCTAGCACCCACAGGGTCCGAGTTCGAACCCCGGTTGCGATCCGACTTTTGATTTTGAAAAAATAAAATATGAGATGCAAAACTACTCAGAATTCTAAGCCTAACACTAAAAATTACGTAAATCGGCTCACGGGAAGCCGAGATCTCGCGCGTACAAATGGACGAAGCAAACAATTGATTTTATATATAGATTGTTAAAAAGAAAGGTAGAGTGACTGGCTTGAGAAAGGCAACAAAGAGAGATCAGTTTAGATTTTCCAATCTTTAAAATGCTGTAAATCTTTTAAAGTAACGGCATCTCGAAAGTCTATGTCCATTTAAAGTAAAGATACAAGAGTTTCCGGTAGGAAATTTTATAAGGAACATTTTAAGAACACCGCAAGTTGTCGGTTAATGAATGCGATATGGAGGAAGAGAAAAGAGTGATAAGCTTCCGCGGAACAATAGCACAGTTGTTAAAGAAAAAAGAGTACTTTTTATTAGATGAGCCCCGATTTTTTCGACGGATTCGAACTCCTCGACTAAAACTACATCTAGAAAAGTAATCTTAAAAAAAATTTTTATTGAAAAAAAGCTAAGGTATTAGACTCTCCTTTTTTTCTTAAAATAATTTTTTTTCCAAAATATTTGAAAACACTTTTCTAGACCTAGTTTTAAGGGTACAATTCAAATCTATCTAAAAAATTCAGAGTTGACCTTACAAAAAGCACTCTTTTTGCACACTTTTTCTATCTTTTTATATTGCAGTTTACTAAGCGAGTTATAGTTTTATATAATCGAATTTCATTAGCTACATTTTAAAACCAACCCCAAGTCGATCCGTCAATTGCAAGTAGGGATATCAGACAAAAGAGAAGAGCAGTCCAACTCAGATTCTCATGCGCGAGTTGTTCATAATTTCGACGATTTTATGAACAACTTTTGTTCATAAAATGTGCCTTATGAAATTTGGTTATAGACACAAATTACTTAGTAAACTTTAACATAAAAACATGGTGAAAATCTCAGTCAAAGTTTGACTATTTAGGCGAACGACGAAAGGATCCTCATGCACTGTACCAGGATACCAGGACCAGGACAAACTTTGTAGTACTACAAACTTTTAAGTTTGCAGTACTGCAAACTTTGCAGTACTGCAATTTGTAGTACTTTCAATACTGAAAAGGTTTTCAGTACTGAAAAGGCTTTCAGTACTAAAAGGCTTTCAGTTTGTAGTACTACAAAGTTTGCAGTACCACAAAGTTTGCAGTACCACAAGGTTTGCAATACTACAAAGTTTGCAGTACCACAAAGTTTGTAGTACTACAAAGTTTGCAGTACCACAAAGTTTGCAGTACTTCAAACTTAAAAGTTTGTTGTACTACAAACTTTATAATACAGGTCTCTTGTAATACAGGCCTTTTATAATAGAGGTCTATATATTCATACCTTAAATTTGTCAAATTTTGACGTTTTATAGCTCATGCTAAAGCTGAATCCAATACAGATCGATGGGTACAAAAACCGCCTTGAGATATCTCTTTTCTAAAAGATTTTACAGCTATTTTAGTAAGGGCAGCAGAGCCAAAAAATGGATGTTTCCACCTTTTCAGAAAATGGCTTTTCGTTAGTTTTCCGTGCGAATTTGTTTCTCATTTCTAAATGCTAGTGGAATAATTTATATCATTTATAAATAAATCATTTATAGATAAATCATTTATATAAATACTTTATTCAGAAAGAAATAAAGTGCGATAACGCATTAATAAAATCTATTATATTAGATATTAATTTTGCATTTAATTTGCATTAATTTGTCGTCTTTATTTCTCTAGCTTTAATCGAACGAAAAATGAACCTGAGCTTGAAAAAAACCGGAACAATCCCCAGGTCTTTCATCCTCCAATCCTCCATCCAATAAATGGGAATTTCAAAGTATGGGCTCAAAATTGAATCTGTGACAATGCAATAATCTCTTCCTTTTTCTCATTAGAAAGCTTTCCTTTTTTATCACAAGTCATTCCAGACGTTTTCCTTTAAAATAACATCTGTCTTTTCTATACTTTCCATTACTGACGTCAAAAAACAATTGAAATTAATTAAAAATCAAATTTTTAATTAGCTTAGTAATAGCAAAAATCCAATGGAAAACCAATAGATTCTGGCTTTATTCTTTTTACAAGGTAAAATCCACAGGTTTTAAGTGAATGATTTCAAATTTTCAGGACAAGGAGAAGCTATTGAATTTCACGAATTTAAGAGGTGGGTTTTTAGAGCAATTTTAATTTAAAATTTAAAGCAAATTAAAAAAGCAATTTGTATAAGAGAGTTTATTTTATTTGTATAAGATCTTATAGAGTTTGTATAAGAGATATTTTAAGATTTATTAACTTTAAAATATAGACGATTAAAAATGAAACAAGTTTCAGCTTAATATTTTAAAAGTAAACAAAAACTAAAAATCTTTCAGTGTGTCAAGCAGAAAGATTTTCCACAGAAAAATTTTGTGTGGTGAGTTGTGTGGTGCCAGATATCAGCGGTGCTTTGAAGGGTACCATAGCTTGTTCCGATATTACTCGAGTAAGATAGATATTTTAAAGGTTCCCATTTTAGTCGCATCTTCCAATTGATTGGCCTTGTATCAGAGCGGTTGAATTGTGTAATGGAAATCGAGATTGTCCAAATGGTGAAGATGAGGAACCGAACATGTGCATGTTTCATTCTTTGGTTCGTTTTAATTTAATGCTAGAACTTTAAACGAATTTCTGTAATGGTAGTCCAGTTAAAAGCCTTTCCTGGTGTTGGAATCCAGTTAAAAGCCTTTAAAGGGGAGATTTATCCATTTAAATTTGTATTTTTATGATTCAAATATTTAGCTTTAAAGTAAAGAGATTTCATCTAGCTTTTAAACTAAGCATCGAGCTTTTAAACTTTCAAAACAACACCCATAAAAATCTCAATTTTCAGAATCAAGGATTATTGCGTCAATTGCAGCGGGACTTTTTGAGATTCAGTGGTGCTACACCGTCGTCAAGTACACCCTATGAATTCGTGAAAATCAAGTCTTAGCCATATACGGGTGAGTTTTGAAGGTAAAACAACAATGACATTAATGATCAATGATCAATGATTGACGGATTATCAACAAATCTATAAAAAGCCCAACAAAATTATTAAAACCCTAGGGTTTAAGTTAGGCTAAGCTAAGACTCGGCTGCACCAGGAAGAGACAAGCAGCTCAAAGAAGATCCAAGGCCTGGCTCTAGCTTTGTCTGGTTTACAGGGAAAATCCAGTTAAAAGCCTTTCCTGGTGTTAGAATCCAGTTAGAAACCGTTCTTTGTTAGAATCCAGTTAAATCATTCACTTTAGATAAGCTCCAGCTAAACTATCAAAATTTAACTGGAAACATTTACAGAATTCGACTAACGTTTGGAATGATCTCCTTTTTCACCTCGAATTACTCGAAATCGGCTCTCTTACTAGAATTCATAGAATTGTTGTCGAATTTTCTTTCTCTCTGCACAAAAAGATTTTTGGAATTGTCGATTTCCTTCTTTTCACTTTCTCGCTGAACAAATGCAAATGTTAATCATTCATTGTCCGAATACGAAACATATATAAAAGAACTTCAGAAATGGACTAGAAAGAGTGTGTTTGAGCACAAAATATACTTGAAGAACACAACTTCTTTGTAAACAACTTTGACTTTGAAACAAGAATTGAGTCTATTTTGATTATTTCGTCATTATTGCTAGCTTAAGTAAGCTAGAAAAGATTTTTTTTATTTTCGAAATCTCGAAAGACGACTTAAATGTCAGCTGCTTCTTAGGTGTGACAGCTGCTTGTTAGCTATGTCAGCTGCTTGTTAGGCGTTAAATCTTTCCATGTAGAGCTCCTATATCTTTGTGGGATGTGCTGTGGCCAGATATCTTTGTCAAGCAATTTTTATTATCAAAGTCATTATAAAGGTATCATGGTAAGCTTTCTGAGTGGTTTGATCCAATGAAAATTAACAATTAAACAGACAAACAGAAATTAAACCAGCTCCAAATTTTTGAATTCGAAGCCCTCAACATTGAAATTTTAGCCTCAGTTTTTGAAATTTTCTATTTGCTACAAACACCTGAAGTTTTTGAGGCTTGTGATTTGCAGATTGAATTTGACTAAAATTAAGCTGATCAATTGAAAGCTGAACGTTTGAAGACAGTCATTTTCAAAACTAGGTGACCTCTAGAAAGAAAATTAGTGAGAGAAGACTCCATTACAAGCTACGATGCTGAAGAATGAATAAACGTAGGTCTATGCAAAGGTTGACAAAAATTGGATGGAGTCGAACTTCTCCATGTGATAGAATTCAATGATTTGGATCTCAATGAAAGCATTCTTTGGTGAATGATACTGTTTTAAATTTGGTTGACTGTTGTTGTAGCAAAATAGTCAAATAAATTAGTATAAAACTTCTAACTACCACCAAATGTTGGTGAGTGATGATTCCATTTTCTGGTTTACTGTTTTGAAAAATTTATAGGTGCGATGAAAAGAAGTGTCGTGGTTGGCTCCCTGCAGCAAGCGAGCAAGACGATTAGCCCCTCATTGTCATGTTAATTTATATTTTATGGGTTTATTGGGATAGTGTTTTAACCTTTTTCGAATAAAGCTAATGGTTTGAACTGAGTTTATCCAACCTAACAAATTCTCGATTATTTGCTGCCGGAAGTGTTCTGTTTTTAAGAACGCCAAAACAGTTTACAGTTTCGTTGCCGTATCGATTTGTTTTCTTATCAAACGAGGCAGATCACCTGCGATAGTGTTTTTCTTTTTCTTCTATAAACGATTTCCGTCTTTAATAAGCAAAAATTTTACATACTCCGTTGCACCTCCCAGCACAAACCTTTCGAAAGACTCAAAAAGATATAGCGAGTTACGGAAAACTTGTGTTGTGCAAAACTTAGTTGTGCAAAACTTTTATGCACAACTTCTTAGAAGAGAGTAGAATAGTATTGATGAATGCTTAATGAGCAATTATCATTAGATTAACTGATATTGGGTTGAAAAGTTCTTTCCGAATTTTTGAGAGTGTACCTTGAATTTTTCAAATTTTGACGTTTTATAGCTCATGCTAAAGCTGAATCCAAGATAGATCGATTGGTAGAAAAACCTTTTTGAGATATCTCTTTTCTAAAAGCTTTTACAGCTATTTTAGTAAAGGGCAGCATAGCCAAAAAATGGATGTTTCCACGTTTTCAAAAAATGGCTTTATACTTTCCATTACTGACGTCAATAATCTCTTCCTTTTTTTCCATGTAAAATCCACAGGTTTTAAATAAATGATTTCAAATTTTCAGGACAAGGAGAAGCTATTGAATTTCACGCACATTACCTTAAACGTCTCATTAGAAGCTTTCCTTTTTTCTATCACAAGTCATTCCAGACGTTTTGCTTTAAAATAACACCTGTCTTTTTCTATGCTTTCCATTACTGACGTCAAAAAACAATTGAAATTAATTAAAAATCAAATTTTTAATTAGCTTAGTAATAGCAAAAAATCCAATGGAAGTTTCAACAGGGAAATTTGGGGGTTTTTTGAGAGAAAGAAACGAAATCTACAAGCTTTAACGGTTTCTTTTACTGTTTTTTACGCGAAATTTCGGAAATGATTCTTTTTTGGAAACTCGAAACTCTGAAAACTCTTAAAAAGTGTCAAGATTTGAGGTAAAATTCGAAATTTTTAGCTAGAAAGGAATAAAAATTGAAATGATTTCCACTTTAGAGCTTGAGATTCTTGGTTTCTCTTGACATTTTCCCTTTGTTTTTCTTGTTTTTCTTGTTTCTCTTGATATTTTCTTTGATTTTCTTGCTTTTCTTAACATTTTCTCGGTTGATGGGCATCTGTAGAGCGAATCACATGAAATTTTGGGAGCTAAGAACCTAGAAATTGGAGATGAGTAAAGCGTAGATAAAATTCGATTATCAGCCGGTTAACAGCTGGAGTTGAGTTAAGTTTGATCAAGTTTATCTAAGCCTTATTGGCTATCAATGACTATCTTAGCCTTCTTGAATGATATGAAGAAAGAAATAAAGGATCTGGCAAGAAAGAGATTTTCGTAAGGTAAATGAATTCATTTAAAAATCTACCTTTCGACAAATGACATCCGAGACTCGAGAAGAAGCACATTCGGTCGTAAATTGTTGGGATTGCGTAAAAGATTTTGAATACGGAGATATGATTCTCTACTGTTTTCGATTCTTCCGAGATGGATGGTTGAGCTGTGCGTTTGTGGTGATAGGATGGTTTGCTGAAGTTGAAAAAATTAGTAAAACTGGAAGGCCCTGGAAAGTAAAACTAGTCGAATTTTCTTTTACAATAATCTTTGCCACTTTTCCTGAACCACACGATTCTTCGAAATGAAACCTTTTTTGCGGCCTATCCAAAAACAAATCTCTCCTAAAGTGGGAAATCCTTTCTACCTTTCGTAAAAATCTACCTTTCGACAAATGACAAAAAATCCAATGGAAAACCAGTAGATCTTGGCTTTATTTTTTTTACCATGTAAAATCCACAGGTTTTAAATGAATGATTTCAAATTTTCATGTAATAGTACCACAACCCCAGAATGACAGTGCGGAGTGTTTAGTCTGTGCGGAGTGTTGGATAGTCTAGCTTTAAAGGAATGTGTATTTTTTGATCATTCTATCCCATTGCATTATCAGACTTGCGTTTTATAGTAAAAGCTATTTTCGGACATCAGCGATAAGTACAATTACTGTTTTAATCCCCAAATTTCGGTTAAAATACAAAGGAAAACCAAGAGCTTATGCCGACAAAAACATTGCATTGTGATCCGGTGGAAACCAGTAATCAAATCACTTCACCATTTCCCCAAGACGATGATAGATAAAGCATTGATATTAATCCAAAACCTCTTTGCTCACCTCTTTTTTGCTCATTGACCAAAAATGTTAGACGAACGGCTTAGACGTTTTGGCTTAGACGACGATGAATATTTGCATATTTTATCTTCTAAAATTTCAGCTGGCCGCCTCGTACTACTGTGCAGACAAGTTGACCTTGCAAGGAAAACCGATTCCCGGAAACAGCTCTTCAGGTGAGGTGTTTAAGAGGGCAATTGGGAAGCAGGTAAACAGGAAAGGAGCATACAGCATTTGATCAATACGATCAATCAAGTGACCAATCAAGTGACCACTCAAGTGACCGATCAATTCGCCAATACGATAGCTTAATATCAAATCAAATTTTGCTTAGTAAAGAGTGTAATTACAAGCAATTTATGTTAATTATTTGCCAATTACTGGCCTTAATCAGAAGTGAAAATTTGTGTACTTTTCAGAGCGATTTTTATCTATCGTAGACCCGTCGAATCAATTTTAATCATCTAATCATCAAATCTAATCACCTAAGCCTAAGCCTAAGCTGCAAAAAGCTACAAAAAGCTGCAAAAAGGTGTCTGTACATTCGTGTACAGGCGTCGAATCAAAATTTTGGCATATCAGAGCTTGTGGAAGCGAACGGACAGAGTTATATGCAAAGAAAAAATCAACAATTTTCTGTAATTTGACTTAGCCGTTTTGTCTTTCAAATTGGTTTCACACGCTGGTTATGTCAAAATTTGAATTCGAGACCCTCAAATTACCTAGAAAAACAACTTTTGGAATAGAAATTGGTTAATATTAGCTTTTAGAGCTTTTTTAAAACGAATGGGCTAGGAAAAATGGACATTAATTTTCAAAAAAAAGAGGACCTCTAGAAAAGAAATTAGTGAGAGAAGACTCTAGTACAAGAAGAAGTACAAGTACAAGCTACGATGCTGAAGAATGGATAAAAGTAAGTTTATGCAGAGGTTGACAAAGATTGGATGGAGTCGAACTTCTCCAGGGAATAGAATTCAATGATCTGGATACCAATGAAAGCATTCTTTGGTGAATGATAATGTTTTAAATTTGATTGACTGTTTTTGTAGCAAAATAAACAAATAAATTCGCGTAAAACTTCTAATATACCTACATGTACGTCGATTTTTCAAATACCAAGATAGTACCAAGATCGAGTATCAAGATAATCACCGGATTTCTTTTGTTTTACAAAACTCGTAAACGCTTCTTGGCTTAATCAAATTTGTTTTAGTTGCAAAGAAGAATTTTTCCTTATCATTCTGCACTTGTTGCTGGTCCTGTCAACGATTTTCTTTTAATTTTTTATTTCAAAACACCAACGATCCCAAAAACATCACTTTTCTTTTAGTGGAAAACGGAAAAGTATAATAAAAACCCGCACAGGCTGTGGATTCTTTAGAGAAATTTTAAAACAAAGATGATATATTTTGAATATCAAGTAAAATTTGAATACCAAGTAAAAAGCCGAACCTTTGTTGGGTCTTTTCCCGAGAAAGAAATGGTATGTTTTGCCTAAAGATTACAGTCTAATGTAGAAAAGATAGCATTTTAAAATTAAGCTGATCAATTGAAAGCTGAACGTTCGAAGACAGTCATTTTCAAAACTAGGTGACCTCTAGAAAGGAAATTAGTGAGAAGAATCAATAAACGTAGGTCCATGCAAAGGTTGACAAAGATTCGATGGAGTCGAACTTCTCCAGGAAATAGAATTCAATGATCTGGATACCAATGAAAGCATTCTTTGGTGAATGATAATGTTTTAAATTTGATTGACTGTTTTTGTAGCAAAACAGTCAAATAAATTGGCGTAAAACTTCTAACTACCGTTACCAGTTTTCCCTTTAGCCCAATTTTAGTCTGATTTTTTGAGGCTTATGATTTGCAGATTGAATTTGACTAAAATTGCGCTGATCAATTGAAAGCTATCAGTTTGAAGACATTAATTTTCAAAACTAGAGGACCTCGGGAGAAGAAATTAGTGAGAGAAGACTCTAGTACAAGAAGAAGTACAAGTACAAGCTACGAGGCTGAAGAATGGATAAAAGTAAGTTTATGCAGAGGTTGACAAAGATTGGATGGAGTCGAACTTCTCCAGGGAATAGAATTCAATGATCTGGATACCAATGAAAGCATTCTTTGGTGAATGATAATGTTTTAAATTTGATTGACTGTTTTTGTAGCAAAATAAACAAATAAATTCGCGTAAAACTTCTAATATACCTACATGTACGTCGATTTTTCAAATACCAAGATAGTACCAAGATCGAGTATCAAGATAATCACCGGATTTCTTTTGTTTTACAAAACTCGTAAACGCTTCTTGGCTTAATCAAATTTGTTTTAGTTGCAAAGAAGAAGTTTTCCTTGTCATTCTGCACTTGTTGCTGGTCCTGTCAACGATTTTCTTTTAATTTTTTATTTCAAAACACCAACGATCCCAAAAACATCACTTTTCTTTTAGTGGAAAACGGAAAAGTATAAAAAACCCGCACAGGCTGTGGATTCTTTAGAGAAATTTTAAAACAAAGATGAGATATTTTGAATATCAAGTAAAATTGACAATGTTCTAGAAGAAAACAACATTTGATTAAAGTGGATTGTAAAATTGGACTAGACGAGGAGTGGGACTTTGTAAGCACTTTGTCTAAGGCAAATTGGAACAAGATGAGAAGACACAGATTGAAATGAATGATGTTGGACTCAAGAATTAGGCTTGAAAGTGAGTAAGCTTAGCAAGGAGACCATTTGATTGATGATTTTAAGGAAACAAGTTGGAAATGTGAAGGATTTTGTTTGAATTCGGTTTAGAACTGGCTGTCAATTGGAGCACATCGTCGGGGTTTTCCGTGAATACTGATGTGACGGGATTTGCTCGGTTGATGGGCATCTGTAGAGCGAATCACATGGAATCTCGAGACCTCAGCGCCTAGAAATTGGAGATGAATAAAGTGTAGATGAACTTTGATTATCAACCGATTAACAGCCGGAGTTGCATTAAGTTTGATCAAGTTTATCTTAGCCTTATTGACTATCAATGAGCCGATAAAATGAAGGAATTGGCAAGGAAAAGTTGTTAAAATTGAGTTTCCGGATGGCCTTTGGTTTTGATAAATTTAAACTGTGCGCGCTTTTCAAACCTCTCCGACGTATTCACCGACAAAAACATTCTTTGGAATTTTGAAAATTGTGCGAAGACCCCAGCCTTTCCTTCCTTCCCAAAATAGCACCAACGGTATCTGTCTCCCTTCCTGAATTTTTTTGATTGCTAATTTACATAAACAACAACCTGCAGCACTCGTTGACGACAAGTTATGGGATCACATTTGCAATGCTCTCCACACTCAACTACTACGTCACAACTAGAGTTTGCCGAGTTGAGTTTCCGGATGGCCTTTGGTTTTGTTCCACTTTTGTAACTTTGTGCAACATGATGCTAAAGGAAAAGTAAGAAAAATAGTTTTCATGATACCGAGGCACAGCAATTAATTGCACCCTTGCATTCGCAAGCTTTGTTGCAGCCAAGATCGTTCGGACGAATATTCTTTAAAGTTTTCACAGCATCCTCAGAGTGGCGATTTTTGGTGATATACTAAACAAAAAATTATCAAAGCCATCCAAGGTTCAAGCTCAAAAAAGAAAATCTTCACCTTAAAGCGAGGCATCGCTTTCCAATCGCCTGACCAGTTTTCGATGAAAATTTTGGCTGCCTTTCCATCAATAATTGTGTTCCAGTTGAATTCCCTTTTAAGCAGTAGCCATCGCCATTTTGCATCTTTTAGCTGGAGGAAAAACCGGGGGGAAGCTAAAGCATAAACTAATTTCAACATTGAACTTTAAACTGACTCTTTTTGCTTATTGAGGAGCTTCTTTATCACTCGGCGGGCGACATTCCTCAATCGAGCAAATTTAAGCTAAATTTTTGTTGGAAATTGGTGACCACTCAAAAATAGCTATAACGATCGAATTTTCTTTGAAATCTAATAGATAAAATTATTTGTGTACTTGTATTAAAGGTGGTGAAAAACTGCTAAGTAATGAATAATTCGATTCCTTTCCAGTACTGTACTGCAAGTTCGCGAAGGATGGCTCAGGCTAAGCCCCATGGAGGGCTCGTCCCACTTACCCCGTCCCGGACCCGCTTAAGTGCACGAGCACGAGCACGCTTAAATGCACGAGCAGTCTTGCTCTTTTCCCGCTTTGTCTAAACAATTCTTTTTACTAAGGCAACTTTAAAGTTATGCTTTCAGTTTAGACTGAATTTTATGATGGTTCTGTCATGAAATGTTAGAAGCCTAAAGGTAATCGGGTTTTGTGATTGTGGAGCCTATCGATGTTGGTCTCATGTGGAGCCTATCGATGTTGGTCTATCCGACTTTATGCCTACATAAAAAACTATAGAATATAAACTTTATAATACTAAACTAATCTAGCGGCTGTGGCTCTGGGTGCTGCAGTCAGGCCCATACGCAACTTTAACACGGTGGCGGTGCGGAGCCAAATCCTGGGCTAACAATAAAAAGGCTAACTTAAAAATGTTTTCTGGTAGTCGATGTTATCAATCACCCTAGAAAACGCACATTGAAACATTTTTGGCTGCCCGTCCCCAACCGCCTTAGTTCCCAAGTTTTGAATGCAAAATTTAAAAGATAAATTTTTAAAACGTAGACTAACCGTTTGTAACATTGGATTTTGACGTCGCTTCTTTCCGGCAGCAGTCTCTCGCGCAGACTAAAAGAAAACAAATAATCAGTTGCCGGCACATAATCAACTGTGATAAATTTACCAAAATTAGGAACCGGAGATGGAAAAGCGTAAGCGAATACCTCATCTTCATCGTTGCTTCTATCGCTGTCCGCCGTTCCTTGTTCTTTCGCTCGTTGTCGCCGATGTACTCTCTTCTTGCCGGCTTTGCTGACAACCGGCTTTGACTCCTCTTTGACGCTTGACATGGAACTAAAATTAAAGCAAATCGTAAGAAAACAAGGAAAATAATGATCATAAATAAAGTGGCTGAAAAGACACGGAAATTTCAAAATCTGAAGAAAGAAGCAACCAATAATAAAATTTGTTTGGAGTAATAACTTAGCTTTTTGGATTTTTTTAATCTTTTTCGTTATTGTAGCACTAGGTTATTTCGTTGCTAGGTGTTTAAAGTCCTGAGACCGTTGCATAACTTTTTTCACTTAGTTTCTATATCTTAGTTTCTAAGGAAAAGAAAAAGAGAAGACAAGAGAAGGCTAGGCAACATTTGCTGTCTTTCATTGGATTTCTTTTTTAGACTTTGAGAGTCAAACATCTAAATCGGAAAAGAATCATTTAGGTAAATTTTCGCTACAAGATGTTGCACCTTATTTTTGTTTTTTAGCCTTACGTTTTATATTTTTTGTAGAAATCATGCAACGATTCTGTGAAGGCCAAGCGCCGATTCTGAAATGAGTGGTCATAGATCTCTAGCTCGAAGTGGACTTATATTCTAAATGCCAACTCTTTACAACCTTATCCTTTTCTTCTAGCTTTTCTTCTTAATGCTTGTTCTTAAACCTGTTTCTGTAGTTTTTCCAAAACTTTTCCTCTGATTCTACTGCAAAAGTCACTGATTATCTTTAAAAATTTAGATCATTTTTTTGAGCAGCATCGACCCCTCCGCTTCGCTAGAAATAGATGAAATAGATGGCTACAATAATCTATAGCTCAGTTGAGCCTTAGCCTAAGCCTGAGCCTGAGGTTTATCTTGAATTCGAAGCCCTCAACATTGAAATTTTAGCCTCAGTTTGAAATTCGTTTTTGAAAACATTAATCTCTAATAATATTGAACTCTCGCCGTTCATGGTGATATTTTTCTTCAATCTTTCTCGGTTCAAATTCTCTCGCTGTTGGTATCTTTTATACGTTTTATAGATCATGCTAAAGCTGAATCGAATACAGATCGATGGTTACAAAAACCGTCTTGAGATATCTCTTTTCTAAAAGATTTTACAGCTATTTTAGTAAAGTAAAGGGCAGCAGAGCAAAAAAATGGCTGCTTTCACGTTTTCCAAAAATGGCTGTTTCGTTAGTTTTCCCTGCGGATTTGTTTCTCATTTATAAATGCAAGTGGAATAATTTTATATCATTTATAAATAAATCATTTATAGATAAATCATTTATATAAATACTTTATTCAGAAAAAAATAAAGTGCGAAAACGCATTAATAAAATTAATAAAAATTAATAAAAATCGAACGAAAAATGAACCTGAGCTTGAACAAAACCCGAACAATCCCCAGGTCTTTCATTTGTTTTCCTCCAATCCTCCATCCAATAAATGGGAATTTCAAAGTATGGGCTCAAAATTGAATCTGTGACAATGCAATAATCTCTTCCTTTTTCTCATTAGAAAGCTTTCCTTTTTTATCACAAGTCATTCCAGACGTTTTCCTTTAAAATAACACCTGTCTTTTTCTATACTTTCCATTACTGACGTCAAAAAAACAATTGAAATTAATTAAAAATCAAATTTTTAATTAGCTTAGTAATAGCAAAAAAAATCCAATGGAAAACCAGTAGATTTTGACTTTATTCTTTTACCATGTAAAATCCACAGGTTTTAAATGAATGATTTCAAATTTTCATGTAATAGTTAGAAGTTTTATACTAATTTATTTGACTATTTTGCTACAACAACAGTCAACCAAATTTAAAACATTATCATTCACCAAAGAATGCTTTCATTGATATCCAAATCATTGAATTCTATCACATGGAGAAGTTCGACTCCATCCAATTTTTGTCAACCTTTGCATAGACCTTTGAAAATGACGTTTATTGATTCTTCTCACTAATTTTTTTCCTAGAGGTCACCTAGTTTTGAAAATGACTGTCTTCGAACGTTCAGCTTTCAATTGATCAGCTTAATTTTAAAATGCTATCTTTTCTACATTAGACTGTAATCTTTAGGCAAAACATACCATTTCTTTCTCGGGAAAAGACCCAACAAAGGTTCGGCTTTTTACTTGGTATTCAAATTTTACTTGATATTCAAAATATATCATCTTTGTTTTAAAATTTCTCTAAAGAATCCACAGCCTGTGCGGGTTTTTATTATACTTTTCCGTTTTCCACTAAAAGAAAAGTGATGTTTTTGGGATCGTTGGTGTTTTGAAATAAAAAATTAAAAGAAAATCGTTGACAGGACCAGCAACAAGTGCAGAATGACAAGGAAAACTTCTTCTTTGCAACTAAAACAAATTTGATTAAGCCAAGAAGCGTTTACGAGTTTTGTAAAACAAAAGAAATCCGGTGATTATCTTGGTACTCGATGGTATTTGAAAAATCGACGTACATGTAGGTATATTAGAAGTTTTACGCGAATTTATTTGACTATTTTGCTACAAAAACAGTCAATCAAATTTAAAACATTATCATTCACCAAAGAATGCTTTCATTGGTATCCAGATCATTGAATTCTATTTCCTGGAGAAGTTCGACTCCATCCAATCTTTGTCAAGGTCTGCATAAACTTACTTTTATCCATGCTTCAGCTTCGTAGCTTGTACTTGTACTTCTTCTTGTACTAGAGTCTTCTCTCACTAATTTCATTTCTAGATGTCCTCTTTTTTTTGAAAATTAATGTCTTCAAACTGCTAGCTTTCAATTGATCAGCTCAATTTTAGTCAAATTCAATCTGCAAATCACAAGCCTCAAAAAATCAGACTAAAATTGAGCTAAAGGGAAAACTGGTAACGGTAGTTAGAAGTTTTATACTAATTTATTTGACTATTTTGCTACAACAACAGTCAACCAAATTTAAAACATTATCATTCACCAAAGAATGCTTTTATTGATATCCAAATCATTGAAATCTATCACATGGAGAAGTTCGACTCCATCCAATTTTTTTCAACCTTTGCATAGACCTACGTTTATTCATTCTTCTCACTAATTTTCTTTCTAGAGGTCACCTGCTGTACAAGCGTTTGTTGGATGTTTAAATGGCAAGCAGAGTTCTTCATGAATAGTCCATATTGTGATTGGCGTGCATCGGCGCGATCGAGAATGGAAGAGAATGAGAGGGAAGATGTTAGAAAAGTGTCTATATCGAAATCACAAAAAAATCCAATGGAAAGCCAGTAGATTTTGACTTTATTCTTTTTACAAGGTAAAATCCAAGGTTTTTAGAGCAATTTTAATTTAAAATTTAAAGCAAATTTAAAAAGCAATTTGTATAAGAGAGTTTATTTTATTTGTATAAGATCTTATAGAGTTTGTATAAGAGATATTTTAAGATTTATTAACTTTAAAATATAGGCGAGTAAAAATGAAACAAGTTTCAGCTTAGTATTGGGAACGAAAATGCGTATCAAATCTTTGAATGAAACTGGACACACTTATGTACAAGCGTTTGTTGGATGTTTAACTGGCAAGCGGAGTTCTTCATGAATAGTCCATATTGTGATTGGCGTGCATCGATACGGTGTTCGGGTCGGGACTGAAAATTGAGGAATTCAGATAGGGTAGAATTTAAATATCAGATATCTTCTAAACAGCTTGACACTTGCCCCCAAGTGCCCTGGAAACAACTTCTAAACATGCTGTATAAACATAGCGTAAGAAATATTCGGCTACAGGGTTTCGGTACTCTAAGGCTACAGAATTTCTAGCTACAGTACATGCCCTTGGACTTAAACGCTATTGACTGTACAGCCAATGGTAGGTGCTCATCTTCAGGTAGCTTAGGATAATCTAAACAAGGCTTAATCAAGATTTTCGACTTCTTAGGGAGCAAAGTATCGCATGTTTCTATATTGCATACAACATACTCCATTTTCTCTTCATCGTACCTGAAATTTGTGGGATCCCACGAGAGACCATGGCTCATCTGGCTGACGGCAAGGTTTGACGATGGGCCTCCGGCTTGTGACATTAACGGGTCCGAGTGGAGGAGTGGATTGTTCTGTATGCAGAGCATATTAGATATTTCATATTTAAATGTAGATCTTAGGATTTAGATATTAGGGTTTAGATTTAAATAGAATGATATATTGTTTTATCTATATCTCAATCCTACCTCAAGACACCACTCCGTGATCAAATCGGGGAATGGCCCGTGGTGCATCCTTTGACTGTCGGGGCTGTAAGATATTGAATGTATTGAATTGCTTCTACTTCTACTTCTACTACTTTGCTTCTACTTCTACAATAAGCTACTGTAGCTTCTACTTTGCAACCAAATTCGACCATTTTCTGCTTCTATTTGACACTAACTTTAGCTGAATACTGTAAACAATCAATAGAATATAATTAGACAAAGTTTTGCTTGATATACCTATAACTTCTCCACCTCCATTGTGGAGTCTGATAATCTTGTGGACTTGAGCCAAAGAATTGATCGGATCCATAATGGATCCATCCTAGTGGGGAGGCGATCGCAGCCGTCGTGTCAGAGAGCTGTGACATAAAACCCGATGAGGACTAAAAAATAGAGAATAAGAGCAAAATAAAGAACATAAATTTAGGGGTCCTAGTACTAGTTTCCGAAAAGAATTGCTGATTTTTTAGTACCCAATCGGGAGCCGATTGATTGTGAGTCTTCTCGACAAGAGAAGAGTTGAGCGATCACTTACAAGTGATCCCATGGGGTTTGATTTCGACTCTCTTCGATCTCCTGTTTGATTGGTCGAGGAGCGGAGGGGATGGCTGGGAGTGGAGGAAGCGCTTTGGTGGGCGCGTTGAGGCCATTCTTTGCCAAGATGTCCTCGAGTTCTTAGAATTGAGTGCATAGAATGCGTATCTTTTATCTATCTTTATTTAGTAGAATGGTTTAACGGGTATCTACGCTACTGGCCAATGAAATCTCATGTTTTAAAAAAGATCGTCACTTTCGCGCGTCTGTAACTCCCTTGTCTTTACCGTATTCCTAAATATTAATATTATCATTGTGTAGCCCTTGAAAAGAGCTTTCAGAAAATGTGTAACACTAATAGTTTAAACTCAAAAACAAGGGAGTTACAGACGCGCGAAGGTGACGCATTTTTCAAATATGATATTTCATTGTCCAGTACTGTAGCTGAAGAAGCATTGAATTGAATAGTGAAGCCAATCCAAGCCAAGCCAAGCCAAGCCAAGCCCAGCCATTTCCCTCACTCACCCTGACTCGATCGGCGTAGTGTTTCGCAGCGTTTTCCAATTTGTTTTGTTGTTGCTGTTGTTTAATCATGCTCTGAAAGCTCTTCTTTGCATAAAAGTTTTTTTCTTTTCACTTACATCTCGATCCTTTTGCAATTGTCGAATGTAGTCACAAGATGCTTTGAGGATCGTCCCTTTGTTCAGCTTCATCTCTCTAAATTTGGCTCGTGACAACGCGAAGTAAATATTTAGCGTTTTTTTTTTGTAAATTTGATTTTAACTCACTTGGAGGCTCATTTAGGCAACAAAAGCCCTAATTAGTTGATTCGGTCGTTAATATTCAACTGAAACTTGCGACGACGTCGTTCAACTGAAAAACTCGTTTAATAGGTTTTAGAAAAACCTCTGAAAAACTTCTGATTTGATTCATAATTATGAATGAAATGGGAAATGGACTCACTCCTATTGTGAATGTCCTTCTTTTCACGGTAGAAATCCGGATTATCGGCACTGGGAATGGATCCTTTGACGAGCCACATACCTGCAAACAATAATAATCTTTTAGGTATATCAGAGAGTTATATTTATATCCCCGGCGCAAGTTTACCAATTGATCCATCTCCGATGAGCAGGGAGCTGGCGAGGTGAAGACTTCGCGGAATTGTTGCTGCGCCTCCGGGAGTCCGGCGGGTGAGCCTGAGTGGCCTGAACCACCTAAAGCTTCTAGCTTAGATCATTTGAAATCTGAAAAATTCTCGAGCCTAGACTCGACAGGCAGACTCTCTGAGCCTAGCCAGCCAGCTCACCCGACTCCGACTAGCTGGCTGCCAGCCAAACTTTCCCTCTTCTCTTCTGCCAATCTTTCCCTATTAGAAATCTTTTAGATCATGGAATCATTCTACTAGATTCAAACCTGGATTTATGCAAAAGTACAAAAGAATTCTTAATTGTATTAAGCTGGCTGGCAGCCAAACCAATGCTTTCTCTAGACACCGGTTTCAGATCATAAAAACAGCGCCGGTTTGAGCTAACTTTCCGCTCGTTTCGTGTCCCTGCTCCTTTCCTGTTTACCTGCTTCCCAATTGCCCTCTTGAACACCTCACCTGAAGAGCTGTTTCCGGGAATCGGTTTTCCTTGCAAGGTCAACTTGTCTGCACAGTAGTACGAGGCGGCCAGCTGAAATTTTAGAAGATAAAATATGCAAATATTCATCGTCGTCTAAGCCAAAACGTCTAAGCCGTTCGTCTAACATTTTTGGTCAATGAGCAAAAAAGAGGTGAGCAAAGAGGTTTTGGATTAATATCAATGCTTTATCTATCATCGTCTTGGGGAAATGGTGAAGTGATTTGATTACTGGTTTCCACCGGATCACAATGCAATGTTTTTGTCGGCATAAGCTCTTGGTTTTCCTTTGTATTTTAACCGAAATTTGGGGATTAAAACAGTAATTGTACTTATCGCTGATGTCCGAAAATAGCTTTTACTATAAAACGCAAGTCTGATAATGCAATGGGATAGAATGATCAAAAAATACACATTCCTTTAAAGCTAGACTATGCAACACTCCGCACAGACTAAACACTCCGCACTGTCATTCTGGGGTTGTGGTACTATTACAGTATTTACTATTTACTCGTCAATCTATCAACCCCAAAGCATATATCCCTCCATTTCTGTTCTAAGACGAAGAGATTAAAGTTTGCACGCAATAGATGAATTGTTTCCAGGGAACTAATTTCCAATGGAGGGAAAAAATGGAGGAAGAATTGAGGACACTGGGTACATCTCAAGCACGATAATAATTGTAAGGAAAAGATAACAAGGGCGAGAGACTTTGAACCGAGAAGAAAAAGATCACCATGAAAGACGAGTTCAATATTGTATAGAGATTAATGTTTTCAAAAACGAACATGCTGTGGGCTGTGCATTGGCAGATGAACGGTTGGCGGTGGCTGGAGTTGTTGCTGTTGTCGCGGTGTCCGATGAATGGGATTCGATCGATTGTTTGCCCCGATTCCGTGCAATGAATTGTGAGGGCCAAGCACCGATTCTGAAATGTGTGGTCATAGATCTCTAGCTCAAGTGGACTTATATTCTAAATGTCAACTCTACAACCTTATCCTTTTCTTCTAGCTTTTGTTCTTAATGCTTGTTCTTAAACTGTTTCTGTAGTTTTTCAAAACTTTTCCTCTGATTCTATAAGAAGGACTGCAAAAGTCATTGATTATCTTTAAAGATTTAGATCATTTTGCTTTTTTTGACCTAGAGCTCCTTTTTACAATATTTTAGTTAAGTGTGTTGTTTTTAAAAACTACCATAATAAACATTTGATTCGAAATCAAACCTTTTGATCGAAAAAATCAAATATTTTCCGAGTAAAATTGAAAAACAAGCTGGTTTTTCTCAAATGGTAAATGTCAAATGATTAGCATTTCATGGAGAAATGGAAAAAGGATCCTTTAAAGATCAGCCCTTCCTGATTCTTTTTCTTCAAAGCACGCACCACTTATTGTCCGATTCCTCGAGACTCGAGGTCGTTGTCCCGCTTCGTACATCTGAAACGGAATCTTGCTTTATCACAGGAAAAATCTGGAATTTATGAATTCAGGAAAAGCTTTATTACCCCGAGATGTAGCGGAAGTGGACGATCATCGATCGAATTGAGGCGGAGACATGGACGAATTTGGCGAATGGGGCCAATCTTTAACGAGTTTTGAGACAATAACAGATTTTCAAAAAGCACACAAGTCAAGTCGTTTCGTTCCTGTTTGTTTTCATAGCAAGCATAAGAAATCTTCTAACCCTTGTAAGCTGATCTAAATTAAACCAGACGCAGGCCAGGATATAAGACGTGTTCTTAATAAATTCTTGATTCTTATATACTAGTAAATCTCGTCACAAAGGCTCTCCCGGAAACAAACTGTAAGCAGCTAGCTGGTAGTGGTAGACATAAAGATAGATAAAGGTATATGATTTGTTTGTTAAATCATATTTCTTCTCACCTGATCGTGTTGATGTATCATTGCTAGACCGAGATGTTGTGGTTCCATTCTTTGTGTTCGCTCCTTAATTTCTCTTTTCTTTGTCTTCCTTTTCTTTTCAAAAATACACTGATAAGAAACGAATCGAAGAAATCCCTAAAATTTTAATTAAAAAGGATCGATTGCAGAATCGTTTGGAAAAGATTAGTGAAAGGAGTGCTTGGATTGACGTGAAAATTGAAGATTGACGTGACGTCAATCGTGACGTGCTTGGATTGACTCTTTTTCGGATTTTTTTTCGAAAAAATGAGAGGACACCGAAAAAACAGGATACAAACAGACAGATACCACATAAGATATGAAGGTTGCCCATTGCTGAAGGAAAGCAGGTGACGCGGAGCCAAGAAAAGACATGAATGGGGAAGGTACGGTAAGCGGGACAGGAAAAAGGAGGAATGGCAATTCGATCTACATATGCATCCGATGATATTCAGAATATTTAAATTGGCTAGTCCAACATTAAGATATTTGAGCTCAAAGTTGGGGTGCAAAAGGGGATGGGTATCGAATAGAATGCACTTTAAAAGAACACGTCATGCACAAGGGTCTTGCAGCTTCGAGTTTAGCAAATTTCGAAGTGTAATATCTTTTTTCCAGACAGGCGAATTTTTCAGTTGTCAGAATTTCTATTTTTATTAAGATATTTTTATTAAGATATTAAGATATTTGAGCTCAAAGTTGGAGTTATCACAGAAATTATCAAATTTTAATACTTCTTAATCGCAATCGTCCCTTATCTTGGTTCAGCTTGTCCGTGATGTTCCTCATCTAAACTTTCAATCAAAAATCCAAGATACTCCAACTTATGTTGTAGAAATGTTGTACGAACGCGGCACATAGCTCATCCAACGTGATACATTTGCTTTCCAATAGATCAGCAATAACTTGGTCGACGGTCGTCGTCAAATAGTGACAAACTGACTCCTCCGAGAGCTCGCCGATGCCGTAGAAACTGAAAGAGAAATGTTAAGATAGAAGAGAAATGTTAAGATAAAGCCATTTTAGATGCAACTTTCGGACATGATTTTGACCTACAAAGAGAACTTTTTAGCCGTACTTTGGATTCGCAAAGAGTCTTCGGTAGAGATATGTGCCTGCGATGTACTCCATTACACTCTGCTTTGTGGTGATCGTCCCGGGGTGCCAAAAAACACCATTGAACAAATATTTTATTAGTAAGTTTGAACGAGATTGGGACGGAGTACTTCAAGTGTTTGTAGCAAATAGAAAATTTCAAAAACTGAGGCTAAAATACCTAATATATTATTGCGCATAATATTACAGAAAATAGGTATTTTTTGTTCTTATAAACAAATAATGCAAATGCATTTGTAGAGGATTTTTATTTGAACGTGAATATTAGTGGCATATTTCACAGTTTGTTTTAGTGGTACGTTATCTTAATTAACTGCGATACGATAATTTATGATATAACTGCGGATCGGTCTGACTCGGAAAATAGCTAAAAATCGACCTCAGTGCGGTAACAGAGCTTATACAAAAGTTTACAGAAACTTGGGGTTTAGAGTTGCTTAAACTATCTCTGGAGTTGGCTTTAGTTGCTTAAATTCCATATTTCACAGCTCATACAAATTTCGACTAAAGAATTTCCGTATAATAAATTTCTTGTCGTTTTCATTTTAATAAAGCTATGTGCAGTTCAACAACAAATTCAATATGTCAAAAACTACGTATAAAACCATTTATCTGAAAATAAAAATCTATGTTCAAAGCAAAAATGCAAGGCAAGCTCACCGTATCGTCAAAATCACAAGTAAGTACACCAAACTTAAACAAAAAAGTTCTCCTAGAAAAGGTAATAAACTAGTTATGAAAATTATTCCTGCTCCAATTCGACCAGTACTCCGCCACAATCTTTTGGATGAAGAAAAACGACTGGTTTGTTGTGGGTGCTATGGTAGTTGGGGCTCCTAGACTTGGGCTTCCCGCACCGCAAGTGACTTGCCTAAAATTTAGGCACCTATAATATTAAAGTCAAAAACCCTTGGGTGGAAAGTCAGCTCATTTGGAGAAAAAGATTTTTGTCGGCCACCCAACTACTATACTGAGTTTTAAAAATTGACATTATTCTATTACTAACTAGCCTTAATAACTCTTTCGTGATCAGTGTCATCAATTACCCTGGGAAAAATGATTTTTGGTGAAAAAGTGCCCTCCCACAAAGTACTAACTTTTGTAACAAGCCTCTCGATGTAACTTCAAATGATAAACCAACCTTTGACTCATCTTCATTCTTCATCGTCTTCGAGCCAATCCTCGTTATCGCTCTCCAATATCGCTGGAGGAAACAAATCCACCATCTGGTGAAACTTTTTTGTAAGTCTACAATAATTTTTCTTTCACAATACTTTTTAATAGCTTTGGAAGTGTTCACCCAAATTTTTTAATTGAAATTTTCGAAATAATTGAAAATTGAAATTGAATTTATTATTCATTAGGGTACCAGCAAAACGCTGAGATCAAAAATGAACCATGAGGCACTTAAAAGAAACAGCACGTTAACACCAAGAAAATGTCAATATACAAGAAAAAGAGTTAAAAGAAATCTGTGTTTTGCCGGCCTGCCGTTTGCATCTAAAAATGACCTTTCTATTTCTGATTTCAGAACTATTAGGCTGTCGGGTTTTGAATGCGGATTTTTGGCAAAAACATTCTTTCCAAGCGAACGAAGATATCACAATTAGTCCAGTTTGCACCATTAGAAAAATAAATCTGTGTTATAGATGTTATACAATAAATCTGTTCTGTGTTATATTCATACAGCGTTTTTGAAAAAGCTCCAGTTTTGGCAATTTTTCAGGGATCCAAAGACAAGTAGTCAAAATCGCTCCTGGCAATCTTTCGACGGAAAGTTAACATTAATTTTTTGCTCAAATTAAAGACGAAGCATTTATAAATTTTCAGTTGATCCGTCCAGCATTTTTTTTGCAAATGTTTCAAATTTGTTCACAAAGTCTCTCAAATGAGCAAATATCCTTATTTTTTATGCTTCAAACAAACATTCTGAAAGAAACGGCTAAACGTATTTGGCTGAAAATTTGTTGACACATGCAATGAGTTGTTCAAAAGTTGAGTAAAAACATTCCAAATAGATTCCCCAAAATAAATATTTGTCGGCAATTTTCGATTTTTGACGATTCTGAATACTTGTCTTTGCGTCCCCGAAAAATCCTCAAAACAGAAGCTTTTCAAAATCGCTCCAAAAAAACCCAGAACACAGATTTACCTTTCTAATGGTACAACCGGAGTAATTTGAATAGCTTCGTTCTCTTGTAAAAAAATATTTTTGCGAAAAATTCGCATTCAAAACCCGACCACCTAATCGAACTACTGGAAAAACGCAAATAAAAACTTACACGCTTGTCGGGGATATCGTATCTTAGCGCATCACTTGCATGATTGCCTGTTGGCGTGAATAAAACCGCAATAGCTACAACACCCTCCATCTTCAAAGCCATATCTAAACCTTCAAATATTTTTGCCACTTTAAAAACGTACGATGCGAAAAATCAAAACATAATTTAGCCGGTTTCCCTTGATCGGAGGCATATACCAATGGTCCAATCTAAATGTAACTAATTAGCCAATAAAAGTTTCTTTTTACCTTCCAATTTGGTGGGCGATCCGGAAACAATTCACTTCGAATATAATAAAATACTCCCATCTAAACACAAGCAAGTAATTTAGTCAATAATTATATTTTTTGTAGATATCTAGTTTTCTAATATTATAATTTACCGCACAATCAGCAGCGGAAACTGTACTCGGTAATCGGTAACGGATTGAGGCGTGTAGCTTTTTGGCGACCAACAGATCTAAAACACATAACAAAAAACAAAAAGCATCTAACATGCGTTAAAAACAGACTTTCAATTGGCATTGTCACCAAAATTTCTGGTGAGTAATCCGATTTTCTTGAAACACTTGGTAGACGATGTCCGTCAATCGATTTAGGTAAGACCATAGTTTCCATCTAAATTCAAGTCAAATTTGTTGCGCAGTTGGCTTACTACCGGTAGTGGGATATCCCTTGGAGCAATGTGTCCGAGATCAACGTTGATGCGAACATTATTAGCAATGTCGCGTCCAAACAGCTGCACGAGTCTAAAAACAAATCATCAAAGAACAAATTGAAAGACAAACGGCGTTTGATACGCTACAGTTTCTTTTAGAGATGGTCGAGACAATGATCCATTCACGGAACCATCCATAAATAGTGATGATCCCTGACTCCCACTTGCTAGTTGCGACATCTAAATTTGATGTTAGCGCTTCAAAAAGGTTAATTCATATATACCTTGATTGGAGGATTATTTTCAACTAATTTCGGCTTTTTGATCAGTGGCACGGAAGCGAGGTGAGCTAAAAAGAAACAATAGACACAATTTTAACATTAATGTAGCGTACCAAGGTTTTGGTGATGACGAGAGCGAGCAAATCGTGCAGCAGAAGGAACCTAATTATCATAACAAACTTGTAGGCTTAAAACTTTGACATACATTAACAGTCGGTCTAACACCATAAATTATTGCACCATTCTGTGAAGCAGAAGCGTGATTTCGTTGTTGCAACATCTAGGTCATAATACATGTTAAAATATTCAAAGTCTGAAATACTGAAGGAATTCGAAGATCCGTGTGACTGGATCGTGCTTGACTGCTCGTTTCATCAGACGTTAAGGCCTAAATCAATAGAATTTTCCTGAAGTAATAAGCTTATGTATTTATTTCAATCTAAAACATACTGCTACTTGCGACCGCAGTATCACCAATGACTTTTGGAATTCCAGATGATGAGTCTCCTTTAGTAGCTTGTACTAAAATTCAAATGGTCCTTTAAATAAGTATTGAAAAG